GTCATACAGGTATCTAATGGCACAGATGAAACCTGGGCTCATGAAAGGCTTTTCAGAAGTCCAGCCTAAGAATTCCTTATAAAAGGCTCCAGCAAACTCCTCCCCCCCCCCCCGACTTAAGGCCTATATGGGAGCAGAGGTTTGCACACAAATTCCTATATGCCCAAGAAGTTTCTCTATGCCTTGCTTAAAGATTCAAAGTAACTGCCTCCAAATGGCATGGTTAGTAGAACAGACATTCAAATCATCTCTTTCCCCTATAGCTTCAGGCTTCATCAGATAAGAACAAAGAAAGTAATAACTAACAACATGTTCTTCATTAAGTTATGTTAAATTGGGTTATATCAAAAGGATTATGCTTAAAGGTATATGTTGGGTGGATTATCAGGTTACCAGGGAGGAGCTATTTACAGGGCAGGTGGTCATAAGATGTTTAAAAGGATTAATGAAGTCATTGATGTCCAATGCACATGTGCAGAGGGATTGTAATAAGTGGATTAATGAGGTCATTGCTGTATAGTGCACATGCACAAGATTACCTATATAAACCAACAGCGAATAAAGAAAGCATGCCATTTTGCCTGAGCGAGCAGATGGTCACCTTTATTTAAAACACAATTTCAATAAGCGTGTTTATTCTTCTCAACATCACCTTTCCCTGAAACCCTACAGCAACAGGGGCTAGATCAGAGGCTGTGTCAGCAATGGGGGCAAGAGACAATGCTGAGATGCCATTTGCTCCAAATGCAGTTCCATACTGTGTCTCCATCACCCACCCCAGAGAGTCCCAGGGCCCCTTTGTCAATACATAGCTTCTGCTTTCCTGGAAGCCTTCATGTCCCCCAGCCTGTCAGGGGTGAAGCCCCAACACTGCTGACAATGACCAATGGGACCCCTTCAGACACACATCTAGGGTCCCGCTACTCCACCCACGCCTGGCTTCCCGGAGGAGCTTCCCGCTTCCTGCCCCTCCCACTCACTTTAGGTCACTGACCCTGCTTGGAAAACACCAGGCCAGCTCATATAAGGAGTGTGGGTCTGGTCTGTGTGCTCAGCAATGGCTTCTGCTTGGTGGCCCTGCCTGGTCTTGGCTCTGCTGTCTGGTTTGGGGGCCTCTGGCTTTCCGAGAAGCCCCTTCCGGCTGCTGGGGGTGAGTCTGTCCCCTCCTCACCATCTGAGTCTCACTGTCATAAGGCAGAAGGCAGCACGCTGGGCAAGGCCTCTAAGTGGGGTGAGAGGAGGCAGAGGGCTGGGCAGTGAGAGAACTGGGCTCCACTGAGTCCTATATTAACCTGCTATCTAGGCCTAGGCAAGGCTCTTAAAACCCCCAGGCCTTGGTTTCCCTACCTGTCAAATGAGCAATGCATCAGAACGGCTCACCTTGCTGAAGGTCCCATCTTAGGCAAATGGGAGGCCTCTATGAAACGCCGAGTTGAGCCCTGTAGAGTGCGGGTGCTCTGGGAGGAGGCTGAAGGGGCCTGGGGCCCAGGGAAAGGCAGTGTGAGAGGCAGAATGAGGTGGGTATGTGGGCATAAAGAGAGCTCTCAATATGGATCCCCCTTCTCCATTTCCTGGGGGTAATGTGAAGACCTGTCCCTCTCTGGACCTCAGTTTCCCCATCTATTCAAAGTCCTTCCTACCCTGATGTGTGGCTCTGGGAGGGCCCTCAGATAACTGCGTGGAGAGGGGGCACTGCTGAACTCTGTACCCAGTCCAGAGCCTGCTCCCAGGCCATGTAGCCTTGGCTTTGGACTGACCCTTCTGTTTGTTTTTGTTCTTACAGAAACGGAGCCTCCCGGAAGGGGTAAGAACTTTCACTGGGATCAGGGCCAGGTGGGGCAGGGATAGGATGGAGCTGGTTGCCCAACTGCTGAAGGTGTGGGCCATGACGACAAGTCCCTCACAACTGGCAAACAGCTGGCAGCACCCTGCACCGGCAGACTCTTGCTTAGCACAAGACCCCGAGGAAAGAGCACCAGAGCCACAGTCCCTCCCACCTCATGGGACACAGGCCCAGGAGGGCCCCCATCCCAGGCATCCCTTTCTTCCACAAACACCTATTGGTACCTGGTCCTATGCACAGGGCTGAGAACACACAGTGACACGGTTCCTGTCTTAGCCCCACGAAACATCTTTATTTAACTCAGAGATCTCCCGACAGCCCCTCAGGCCAATACCACTGTTGGAAAGAAGGTGTCCAGGGATTCCCATGGCACAGGGAATAAGTTCCTGTTTGGGAGACAGACTCTGGCAATTACTGAAGGACACAGGAGGCTGCTGGCTGTGTGTGAGAGGGACTGTGAGGTTTGAGGACGAAGAGCTAGGGGCGAGTGTTCTGAGGCAAACCTGGGCATGGTTGGAGCTCAGGGTGAGGGGAGGGGCAGGACAAGGCCTCAGTGGCTGCAGCTACGTGTAAACATATTGCAAAACAGAGCAGGTACCAGACCAACGGTGGTCCATGGAATGTGGGGACTGGGAGGATATCAGGGGCCTCAGAGCCTTCACAGGAGACCTTAGAAGGGAGGAGGTCAGGTTGCAGACTTGGTTCTCCAATGACCCTGCCTGGGTGATCCCTGACCACCTCTTCTTCAGGTGGTCGATGGCATCGAGGTCTACAGTACCAAAATTAGCAGCAAGGTGACTTCTCGCTTTGCTCACAATGTCGTCACCACAAGAGCTGTCAACCGTGCAGATGTGGCCAAGGAGGTTTCCTTTGATGTGGAGCTACCCAAGACAGCCTTCATCACCAACTTCACCCTGTAGGTACCCCATGGCTTCTGGCTCTAGGCTCAGGGAGCAGATCTGGCCTGATGTGAGCCCCCCAAACTCTCTTTCCCTGCAGGACTATCGATGGCATTACCTACCCTGGGAACGTCAAGGAGAAGGAAGCTGCCAAGAAGCAATATGAAAAGGCTGTGTCTCAGGGCAAGACAGCTGGCTTAGTCAAGTATGTGCATGCCCCCAGGACTCAGGGGAACGTCTGGATTTCAAGGGCTTTCAGGGCTGCGAATAAGAACAGCTATTATTATTGTCATAGCAAAGTGCACCCATATTTATAGGGTCCCAAGTGGAATCTGAGAATCACTAGGGGTTTAAACTCAGGGCCAAGGGATCTTTTCAATGATCTTTGAAGCAGTCATGCAGTCTTTGGATAGTCACTACCTCGCTCTTGGTTCAGGGCCTCTGGGAGGAAGCTAGAGAAGTTCACCGTCTCAGTCAATGTGGCTGCAGGCAGCAAGGTCACCTTTGAGCTAACCTACGAGGAGCTGCTGAAGAGGCACAAGGGCAAGTACGAGATGTACCTCAAGGTCCAGCCCAAGCAACTGGTCAAACACTTTGAGGTAATCAGCTCTCTTGCAGCTCCTACACAAACTTCAGGGGGTGTAGGGAAGAACCCGTGGGCAGACTCAGACAAGGATCTCCTGGCTTAGTTAAGGAGGCTCAGAGGAATTACCCTGTTTTGGCCACAGCAGCTGGGGCCAAGGGGAGGAGGCTGGGCTGGACTTGGCAGATCTAGCTTTGGTGCTGGGCCCACCAAGACAACACCACAGGTGTCTCTGCGTTGCTCGTAAGTGAGTATGTGGGCATTTTACCTCTCTTAAAGCTGAAAGTGAAAGGAAATGCTTTCGTGGTAGAACTGGGGGCATGTACAGTTGTGGTGGAATACTCTGGAGTTAGCACATCCTCCTACAAGCCCGTGTGATCATATTCCTGGTGGGAGACACAGGCTTGGCCCTCAGCACTACCCTAGAGGGTCCCTGCATCATCACAGGCATCTCAGTCCCATTGGCCTTGTCCTTGAAGCTAGCCTCTACACTGTCACTGAGTGACATCACCTTACTTTGTCCATTTCAGATCGAGGTAGACATCTTCGAACCCCAGGGCATCAGCATGTTGGACGCTGAGGCCTCTTTCATCACCAATGACATCTTGGGCAGCGCCCTCACCAAGTCCTTTTCAGGGAAAAAGGTGATATAAATGCCTCTCAGATCTGGCAATAGAGGGCGGGGACACTGACCTTAGCAGGACAAGACTAGCCCATGCTGGCTGAGGCAAGCGTGTGTGTGTTGGGGTGGGGAGAGATCAATCTACAACCCTTGCCTTCCTCCTTGCCCACTTGGATCAGGAGTAGGGTGACCAGACGTCCCGATTTTGGTGGGACAGTCCCGCTTTTCAACAATTTGTCCCGTGTCCCATGGCGTTTTAAAAAAGTCCCGATTTTTGGAAAGAATGCACGAACGGGCTGGAGAACAAGAAAGGAATATATGGTTTTGGGCCGCCATATGGCTATTTCGCCAGAATATGAGTTTTATATTATTTTTGTTAATTTTATAATGTTAAACTGTAATAAATAATTGCTGAGAAGTGATTATCGAGAACTGCTTATCAAAGTTTGCCTTGTTGTCAGGCCCTGCCCGGCGCCATCCCCTGCCGCGCCTGCGCCATGTTGTCCCACCTTACAAATGTTAGAATCTGGTCACCCTAATCAGGAGTGAAGATGCTGAAGGCAGAAGGGTGCTGATAATAACCTTCCAGAGGAACTGGGGCCTCAGCTGTAATGGGGGAAGGGGGGACTGTCCCACCTTGGGAAGTGGACAAGGCAGTGGTATTGTTCCTGTTTACAGGTTAGAGGACTGACTCCACACTGAGGGGAAAAAGATTAAAAAGAACTTCACTGTTGGTGCTGGGTGGTTGACTTTAGTCCCCGAGGCCACCAGCTATTCCAGGGACCATAGTGGAAGTGGGAGGTGGACAAATAAATGTTTATGTAAACAATAACCCCAGGCATTCTGGACTTACCAGGCGAGACCTGAGGAGCACACACTCAGGGCTGCTGGCTTCTGCAGGGCCCACCCGAGGGCTCCTCGGATACCAGGAAGGGCCTGTGGGGCAGAGGGCTACTGCAAGCTGAGATCTGCTGGTGGGTAGGGCCCGGGCAAGCTGAGCGACATCCTCCATCACTGTCCCTCAGGGTCACGTGTCCTTTAAGCCCACCATGGACCAGCAGCGTTCATGCTCAAACTGTACAGACTCCCTCCTCAATGGAGATTTCACCATCACCTATGACGTGAACAGAGAGTCTCCAGCCAATGTACAGGTATCCGGGCTGGTCCATTAGCTATCACGGTGGGGAGAGGGCTGGTGAGGGGCAAGGCTGCAGCTGCATCTGGCCCAGAACCTTTGTGCAGTGGCCCAGAGAGGGTGGGAAAGGAACATCTTTTGCTTGGGCTGGTAAATATCTGGCTTCTATCTCCAAGAGTCATCAGTATGGTATTGGTAAAGGGACAGACGTGGCTCCTGTCTCCTTTTCCCCTTTTCAGATAGTCAACGGCTACTTTGTGCACTTCTTTGCACCTCAAGGCCTTCCAGTGGTGCCCAAGAACGTGGTCTTTGTGATTGATATCAGTGGCTCCATGGAAGGCCGGAAATTAAAGCAGGTACCCTCCTTAGCACAAGAGGCAGAACTGGAGATTGGGGAATGGGGGAAGAAGAGATTTTGTTTAAGTGAAAAAAGCTGATATTTGGAGTAAATGAAAGGGAACAGGATAGAATAAGGCTGGAGGCCTCTGCCCACTTCTGTGGCGGCCCGCTGCATAGGACATAGGCTCCAGCAGTCTCTGCTGCGGCTTTTTCCCTTCCCATCTGCTCACCTCTCTCTTCCCCAGACGAAAGATGCCCTTCTCAAAATCCTGGATGATATGAAAGAAGAGGACTACCTGAATTTCATCCTGTTCAGTGGACATGTGGACACCTGGAAAGAGAGCTTAGTCCAAGCCACTGCTGAGAACCTCCAGGAGGCCAGGGCATTTGTGAGGAATATGAGAAGCACAGGCTGTAAGAGCAGCGGCACAGATGCATCTCCTGGCGGCTCCCCTCTGCCCTGAGAGCTGCTTCTCTCCTCATGGGGTGGAGACTCTGCTGGTCTCAGGCCAGTAGAGGTGGGAGTGGACAGTCCTCAGCCTTAAAGGCAGGAGTATGGGGTGGCATCTCTGTGGTCTACGGAAACCCATTCTTTCCCTTTTCTAACACATAGTCCTGGTGCCCAGCAAGGCCCAGTGAACCCTTCTTGGCCTCATTTCTAAGGGAAAATTGTATGTGACATCTACACCCCTCCCATCTCCTTCCAGCGAGAGGGGCTGAGAGGCCTTTGGACTGTTTTCCAAATGGCATTTACAATCCCCATTGCTTTGACCCTCTGGCAGCCCCTCCATCCCCATTTGGATGCATAAATCCTGTGTTTGTTCCCTCACTGACCCATCCAGTCAGTGCTTGCTGAGCACCATGTTGTGCAGGCACTCAGGGTCCTGGGGCACACGAGCAGGGCCAGCAGTCCTGGCCTGCTCCACTCCAGCCTCCCCGCACCCTGGCACCCTGAGGACACCCTCCCACAGTGCTGTCTGTGTCTGTTTCCCAGTGACCAACATCAACGACGGTCTGCTGACGGGCATCAGTATGTTGAACCAGGCTCGGGAGGCGCATGTAGTCCCAGAGAGGAGCACGTCCATTGTCATCATGCTGACCGACGGGGACGCCAATGTTGGTGAGGAGGGCAGGTGTAGCTCTGACCTAAAGTAGGAGTGCCTGACTGCTGCTCCCGGCTCTGTAGCTGGCTCACTGGGAGAACTCGGGCAGCACTTCCCAGGGTCTTCCATTATCTGTGAGCCCTTCAAGGGCAGGGTCCAGCCTTTCTCTGCAGGGTGGTCTTCCATTATCTGTGAGCCCTTCAAGGGCAGGGTCCAGCCTTTCTCTGCAGGGTGGCCTTCCATTATCTGTGAGCCCTTCAAGGGCAGGGTCCAGCCTTTCTCTGCTGGGCACCCCACCATCTGTCCCGAAAAGGGCCTGTGGCCATGACTTCGCCAGCTCTACATGTGCAGGAGTCAGTTTTCTCCAGACTGAGCTGGTCCAGATGGTTCCCAGAACATCCCCTTCTACAGGTGTGTCAAGACCTGAAAAAATCCAAGAGAATGTGAGGAATGCCATCGGGGGCAAGTTCCCCTTGTATAACCTTGGCTTTGGCAACAATCTGAATTATAATTTCCTGGAGGCTATGGCCCTGGAGAACCACGGGGTTGCCCGGCGCATTTATGAGGATTCTGATGCCGACTTGCAGTTGCAGGTAAGCCTTGTCTTGCACACTTCCAGGAACGAGGCGCTCACTACTTCCTCAGGCAGCTTTTCCACCAGGTAACAATTTCAGTTATTAGTTAGAGCTTCCTCTTGGGTTGAAATCTCCCTCTGACTGCCTCTTACCCATCAATAATGGTTCCAATTTTGTCCTGGAGCTACTCAAAACAGACCTGTTTCTTCAGGATTGTCAGGTTAAATATAGGGCGTAGGGTTAAATATGAATAGCTGATAAAGGGCAGATTCTTTCCCAGTGTAAACATGCCTCTAATAGTGCATAGGACATTGTAAGTTTCCCGGGGTGGCCATAGCAAAGTACCACAGACTGAGTGGCTTAAACAGCAGAAATGTATTCTCTCCCACTTCTGGAGGCTGGAAGTCCCCATCAGTGTGTCAGTGGGTTGTTTCCCTTTGACGGTATCTAAGAGGCCCAGAGCAGAAGGGACTGTTCTACACTTCTTTCCTTGGCTTCTGATGGTCATCTTCTCCCTGTATCTACACACACATCTCTCTCTGAGCCTGTGTCCAATGTCTCCTTTTTATGAGGACCCCAGCCATATTGGATTAGGACTCACCCTAATGACTTTATTTTGGATACCTGATCTCCAAATAAGGTTAAATTTTAGGAGTACACAATTCAACCCACAACAGATAGACTTACACTGAGAAAACTTTGCTATTTATCCGACATTCAATTTAACAGCATGTCCCATAATTTGGTTTGCTGAATCTGGCAGTGCGTGGCACCTCCACGTCTGCAGGGGCCTCCCATGGCCTCCTCCACCTGTCTCCTGACTATGCTCACTGCCCCTGTCACCTTCTCTAGTCCACCTTTCTTCCTTTCCTCCTCGCTGTCACTCCAACAGACATCCCTTAAATACTTTCTAGGTGCTGAGAGCTCTGCTTTTTCTTTCTACCCTTCTTAGTGTCTACCTGGGGGCAGGGAGGGCTCCTGCAGACTGAAGGGCCCAATCAGGACTGCCAGGTAGGACTTAAAATCCAGCCTGGAGGACTGATGCCATGCTGCAACATTAGGGGATCCACCTACCCCAGACCTCTCCGAGCCTGCCCTGGACCCAACCAACCCATCCCACCCATGTTGCACTCCAGGGCTTCTATGAGGAAGTAGCCAACCCACTGCTGACGGGCGTGGAGGTGGAGTACCCAGAGAATGCCATCCTAGACCTCACCCAGAACAGTTACCACCACTTCTATGATGGCTCTGAGATTGTGGTGGCAGGGCGCCTAGTGGACGAGCACATGAACAGCTTTAAGGCTGATGTGAAAGGCCATGGGGTGAGTGGGGCTGGGGCCTAGAGTGTGGTAGGGCAGGGGAACCAGCACCACTAGGACTCCAGCCTCTTGGCTGACAGCCCAGTAGTGGCAACCCCAAACCTGGGCCCTCACCTCCTCCACCTCTGCCCCAGGCCATCAATGACCTGACCTTCACAGAGGATGTGGACATGAAGGAGATGGAAAAGGCCCTGCAGGAGCAGGACTACATTTTTGGGAACTACATTGAGCGGCTCTGGGCCTACCTCACCATTGAGCAGCTGCTGGAGAAGCGGTGAGCCAGGCCCGGCACTGCCCGGTGCCTACACATACCTGCCCCTGTGCCTCTGTGCTCTGAGAGAGCTCAGAGGAGGTGGACACAGCCATAGCCCAGGGAAGGGCACTCCTCCCACTCAGTCCCAGCTGTCATGCCCTCTCCTTGGCCTAGCCCTAGGAACTGTTTGCAGAATAGTCTGTAAGGAACCTGTGTTTCCACTCTCCACTGTCCCCCTGAGGCACAAGTGGGCTATCACCATGGCCAACAGCCCTGGAGTAGGCCTCAAGGGGAGGGCGGGCCTTTGCACCCTGCTCCCCACACTCAGCATGGCCTAGGATGGTGAGGCTGATTGGAACTGAGGTCTGGAGCCCCAGCCCTTAGCTCCCAGAGGACACTGTCAGTGACCATTCAGGTGGGGTAAGCCTGCAAGCCCCAGCACGGGATCTGGCTATGCTGAGTATTCAGCACACAGACATCATAAACGTTTCATTGCATCTCCTTACATCTCATAGGTGGGAAAACTGAGGCCCAGAGAAGAAGCAGGGCTTGTCCACATTCCCCAGGGAGCTGGTGAATCAGTCTTTCCTGAACCCTGGTGGGCTCCACCCTGAGGGAGGTGGAAAAGGGGTTCCTGGCTGCCTTGGGGCTCCTGGTCTGCTTCTAGAAGCCAATCCAAAGGAGGTAGGCAGGGAGCTATCCTATGGGCTGACCCTCCTGAATCCCTGTCTTCACAGCAAGAATGCCCATGGCGAGCAGAAGGAGAATCTCACAGCCCAAGCCCTGGACCTGTCCCTCAAGTACCACTTTGTAACTCCACTGACCTCCATGGTGGTGACCAAGCCTGAGGACAATGAAGATATGGATGCCATTGCTGACAAGCTTGGGGAAGGTGGGCATAGGGCATAGAAGCCAGAACCAGGAGCCCTCCCTCTAGGTTCCTGGGCCCTGGGTGCCCAGCAGAGGAGTGGGTCAGGTTAGGAAGAGCCAGAGCTGCCAGAGATGGGCAGGTTCAGGGGAAGCCAAAGAAAAACTAGCCAAGGGCCTGTGAAGATGGTGTGGAGAGAGTGAAGCAATCAGCATGGATAGTGGGGCGTGGGGTGAATGGAAGCCTCTGCTTCACTAGAACGATGTGAATAAAGGGAGCACTCTGCCTGGGGGCCATTACAAGGAAGAGGGCTTAGGCTGAAGCACGGAAGGGCTTAGTTAGACAAGAGGAAGCTCTTCCAATCTAAAAGTTAAGACTGGAGCAGGCTACCAGGCACTAGGGATTATGAGAGGAAGAGGCCCTGAGATCTGGAGGCTGAGACCAAGTCTCCTTAGCCAGAACCGATGCCACCCTACACAACAAGGGGTCCCAAATGCCCAGTGCAGCTGGGCACAGGGTATATGTGGGGGTTGGAAGGCGTGGGAGGTAAGGAGCTGGGCCAGGCCAGGCCAGGCCAGGCCTCTGGTTTGCAGGAGCTCTTGCTTCCAGGGACACGCCATGGGTAGAGCACAGCTGGCTGCTGCAAGGCCCATAGCCTGGGGCTGGATGGCCAGGCCACAAGCTCTGGCCCCTGCTCCGGCCACTGCCATTGGCCCTGATACCAGTAGTCTATGGCTCCTAATGCATTTCTCCTCTTTCTCCCTAACAGAAGCACCTGTGGATAAACAAGGTAAACTTGAGGCTGTTGGTGGGTGGTCAAATCATGGGAGAGAGAGGAGAGAGCAGTGAGGAACATTTTCAAGCAAGCTGGGACACTCACCCAGGGAGAGCCTCAGGACACCTGGGCTCAGGTTCAGCTGTACCGCCCAGTCATGACACTGTCCCTCTCTGAGCCTTGGAGTCCTTGTCAGTTGGATGGGGGTGGCTTCCCATGCCCAAGGAGAAACTGTCAGTATGAGAATGTTCTGAGACCTGCACATCAGCCACTTACACTTCACTAACCCACAGCAACCCTCCAAGAGGGTCTTTTTACCATTCCCCTCCCCACCCTACCTCTTTTTGTGGGACAGAGTCTCACTCTGTTGCTCAGGCTAGAGTGCCATGGCATCATCATAGCTGACAGAAACCTCTAACTCTTGGACTCAAGCATTTCTCCTGCCTCCTGCATTTCTCCTCAAGTAGCTGGGACTACAAGCACCTGCTGTAACTCCTGGCTAGTTTTTCTATTTTTAGTAGAGATAGGGTCTTGCCCTAACTCAGGCTGGTTTTGAACGCCTGAGCTCAAGCAATCCACCTACCTCAGCCTCCCAGTATGCTAGGATTACAGGCATGAGCCACTGTGCTTGGCTTATGAGTCCCATTTGAAAGTGAGGAAACTGAGACACGAGGCAGTTAGCTCTGTTTGCTAAAGGACTTAGTAGGTGGCTAAGCTGAGACGTAGGCCAGGAACCTTGCTGGCAATTGCTAGGGATCACAGTGCTCTGTCTCCCTGTTAAAGTTGGAACCTTACCCCTACAACTCCGACCACTGGACAGAGTCTTCCCAGTCCCTATTGACCTGACCCGTCTTCATCTACAATTGGAGCTCTGGCTTGTCACTTTCCCCTCAAAACAGCCTGACAAATGGACTAGTGCACGTGTGTGTGTGTGCGTGTATGTGCACATACACATGAATGTGTGTGCGCATGTGGGTGTGGCTGGCTGTTTTACTACCAAGGAGCAACAGAGATCTGTGAACCTTACCCACCCCAACTAGGGGGTAGGGAGTCCAGGGATGGAGGCAGAGTCTGCTGTGAGCATTACTCAAGAAAGAGAAGCTGGCTGGGCATGGTGACTCACACTGGTAATCCTAGGACTCGCAGGTGGATTGCTTGAGTTCAGATTAAGACCAGCCTGAGCAGGAGTGACACCCATCTCTACTAAAATAGAAATGTGCCAGACTCCTGTAGTTCCAGCTACCCAGGGGTCTAAGGCAAGAGGATTGCTCAAATCCAAGAGTTTGAGGTTGTTGTGAGCTATGATGCCACAACAGAGTGAGACTCTGTCTCAAAAAAAAAAAAAAAAAAAAAAAAGAGAGAGAGGAGCTGACAACTTAATGGCTTGCATCTTAGATGCATAAAAATGCCCTGCCCCTAGCACATAAATTCTACTCCTATTGCCGCCAGCCTTATAAAGAAGTTCCCTGGGCGTGACCCCATTTCTAAAGCCTAAGCTTTGGAGTCATATATCCACCTCTATCTGTTAGAGTTGGGGTCTTGTAGCCTTGGGACGAGTAGCCCCAAGACAGAAGGCAGAGTTGTGGGAGAGAGAATCTCTAGAGCCTGCTCACAAATGTCCTTTGGTTTCTTTTAGATACATCTGTGACCCCCTCCTGGCCCTACTCAAGTGAGTATATTTTGGTTGCAGCAGCCCTCCCTGTCCACAGCTCAGAGGTTGACTCTGCCCCATTCCCTTCAGTGGTCTTTTCTGAATCAGCACTCTGGGAGAGGGAGATGGGCAATGTGTCCTAAAGAAACTGGGGATGAGATGGGGTGTGGGTGCAAGAGCATTAGAGGGCAGGAAGGGGAGAGGTGTGGACCAAATTTAGGGTAGGAGTCCTGGCACCTATCTAGGACTACTAGCTTAGCTCAGCCCTAACCCCATTTGTATCCACAGCCAGTTACCTGTCTTCTCCAAACCCCTACTACTATGGTGAGTTCCCTGGCTCCTCCCTGGGGGGAAGGGTCAGGGTCCTAGACACAGCAATCCTGGCTGTCTAGGAGTTCAGCCTATGAGGGCTAGGAGGCTGGGGAGGTCCCAGGCATAGAAAGAGGCCCCAGGAGCAGCCTCTTCTCTGATGTGCTCCCAGTGGATGGGGATCCTCACTTCATCATACAAGTTCCCGAGAAAGATGATGCCCTCTGCTTCAACATTGATGAAGACCCAGGCACGGTGCTGCGTCTCATTCAGGACCCAGCCACAGGTGGGGACTTCAATCTAATGCTGGGACCAGGGGTTCTTTCTGAGAGAGTATGGAGCACCCAGGGTGCACATGGACCAGTTCTTACTCTGCCCAGAAATTTATCCACCTCCATACACTCGGGTGGGGAGCTGTCCAAAGCCACAGGCTCACCAAGTCCCCAGTGCCAGGGCTATGGGAGAAATGGTTAGGGTGCATGGGAAACCTGGGCCTGAGTGTAGGACCCAGTCTGTGTCTGGGAAATAACTTTTCTCTGAAAAACACTACTTGGTTCAGGTGAGGGGCAGATCCTCAATGTGCCAGCATGGCCCAAAGCTAGGGTGTTTAGGAACAGACAGGGTTGGGAGCCAATGTTCTGGGCTCTCCATGGTGTTCCCACTGTGCTACCTCTCAGCAGGTCTGGCTGAAGGGGGAGGTATACCTCAAAGACCATCTTGGACTCAGAAGTCCTCACTGGTCTCTCTCCCTGCCCTGCTTCTCTGGCAGGTCTCACAGTTAATGGGCAGATCATTGGTGACAAGAGAGGCAGCCCTGACTCCAAGACCAGAAAGACTTACTTTGGAAAACTGGGCATTGCCAGTGCTCATATGGACCTCCAGATTGAGGTGACGACAGAGAAGATCACCTTGTGGAATGGAGCAGTATCAAGCACTTTCAGCTGGTTGGACACCGTCACCATCACACAGGATGGGTAAGGTCTCCTACTAGGTCCATAAGGGGTGGCACGGCTTGAGAGGCTAAGGGAGTTCTGGAGGAATCTGGACAAATCCCAGGAAAGACTGGTTGCCTCAGAGGTCAGTTTCCTGCCAAAGGGGAGGGTGACAAATCCCTGGGACCCCCATCAGAGCCAGAATGGTAGCTGGACAGAGAAGTAGCTCAAAGAGAAGTCTGATTGGGCAAAGCATTAGGTGGTAACAACAATAATCCCCATCTGCATCTATATGGCTCAACTTGTTAGTGTGCAAACTTCTCAGCCTCTTCTATGTCATCAGATGCCCCGGAGCCTAGTGGCAGGGTAGCAGTGCTACCCCCGACTGAGGCCCAGAGAGGGGTAAGACCTGCCTAGGGTCAAACAGGAGGTCAGCAACTGAGCAGGGGCTGTGCCCCAGGCCTCCAGATTCCTGCTTATGGAGGAGCAAGGATCCACTTAGTGGAGGTCATAGACAGCATACACAAGACACCTTCTTTCCAACACTCCTGAGATAGTTCTTGGAGTCCACAGAGTTTTAAAGTCAAGAGTCCACAGAGTTTTGGGTGCCCTGTGCAAGGAAGGCCCTGCCCAGATGCCCTTGATTCAGGTGCTGAATGTCATGGCCCCTGGTCCCCACAGCCACCTGCTGACCACCTCTTCTCTCGTAGGCTGTCTGTGACCATCAACAGGAAGAAGAACATGGTGGTCTCCTTTGGAGATGGGGTTACCTTTGTGGTTGTCCTGCACCAGGTGTGGAAGAAACATCCCATCCACCAGGACTTTCTAGGCTTCTATGTCGTGGACAGTCACCGCATGTCAGCACAGACACATGGCCTTCTAGGTATGGAATATCAGACTGCAGGATGTTTGGGCCAGATAGCAGCCCAAAGACATGGGAAAGACAAGCACAAGGGTTCCCTAGGCATTCTACCCAGCTCACAACACCCCATTCAGCCTTTGTATCAACCCTGAAAGGCCAGGGGCCATGCTGTCCATCCAATGGCCAGGGGCTGACAGTGTGAACCTTTTTATTCCCAGGGCAATTCTTCCACCCTTTTGACTTTAAAGTGTCTGACATCCACCCAGGCTCTGACCCTACAAAGCCAGAGGCAACCATGGTGGTGAAGAACCATCTGCTGACTGTCACCAGGTGAGGTGGCTCCTTTGACATGCTTACTCTGCAGAGGCACATTTTCCTGCTGGGCTCTTGCCTTCTATGAGGTACTCTTGTTTTTCTTTGAGTTCTTGGTCACCTCTAGGCTCCTCCTAATCAAGGAATACCCCAAACATGGAAACAGTAATCATGTAAACTCATTCTTTTTTTTTTTTTTGAGACAGAGTCAGTCTTACTTTATCACCCTTGGTAGAGTGCTGTGGCATCACTGCTCACAGCAACTTCCAACTCTTGGGCTTAGGCGATTCTCTTGCCTCAGCCTCCAAGTAGCTGGGACTGCAGGCACCTGCCACAATGCCCAGCTATTTTTTTGTTGCAGTTTGGCCGGGGCCAGGTTCAAACCTGCCACCCTCAGTATATGGGGCTGGCGCCCTACTCACTGAGCCAGAGGGGCCGCCCATGTAAATTCATTCTTGACCAAAGAATTCTGTGCTCTTAGAATCACCAACTTCACATCCTTTTTCGACTTCAGATCAATGGCCATAGCAGCCATCTTGTCCACCCTATCTATCATAGCATCTCTCTTCTTTTTCCTAGGGGCTACCAGAAAGACTACAGAAAGGATATCAGTGTCGGCATGAAGGTCGCCTGCTGGTTTGTCCACAACAATGGGGAAGGGCTGATTGATGGTGTCCACACTGACTACATTGTGCCCAACCTGTTTTAAATAGACACACCAGCTCTTGTGGAAAATGCCTTTCCTGCATCTGGAATAGGGGTGCATAATGGGCCCTGTGGGAGGGGCCGGGACAATAAAGCTCAGAGTTGAAACCAGAAAGCTGCCAGCCTCTACGTGCCTTCATAAGCCTCTGCTCCAGGAAGCAGGCAGGTGGGTCCCTACACAGCCCAAAGGAGGAGATAGCTGGTGGGAAGGCAACTTCTTGGGCCTCTTAACTGACATAGCTAAGAGAATTGGTTAGGTTTGGTACTATGGGCAGTCAGATGTATGATACTTTGGGAAAGAAAAATCAATAATTGACTTTGGAGCAAAAGGACTGTGAGAAGTCAGAAAGGGTTGAGTGCATTTCAGAGTTCAGGAAGGTCATAAGAAAAGTACAGGGATGTGGCTCAGGATCTCCTATCAGGACCTTCAGAAGTAGAAAGTGCTCTAGGGCAGTGGTTCTCAACCTTCCTAATGCTACAAACCTTTAATACAGTCCAAAGGGGTCGCAACCCACAGGTTGAGAACCGCTGCTCTAGAGCACACACAGCCCACATCTAAGTGAGGATGTCATCCACCTCTCCATTTGTGCCCTCATACACCCACCATCCATCTACTCACCCATCCATCCATCTACTCACCCATCCATCCATCCATCCATCCATCCATCCATTCATCCACTCACCCATCCATCCTTTCACCCACCCACCCACCCATTCACTATCCAGCCATTTGCTCCCCTGCTCATCCATCTATCCATCCATCTACCCATCTGTCTGTCCTTCCATCAACCATCCATCCACTTACCAATCCTACCATCCATCCATCTTTCCAATCATCTGTCCATCCACCCATCCATTGATTCAGCAGATAAACACAGTACCCTGGGCCAGGATCTGAGGGCACACAATTTAGTAATCCAATTTCTATGTTCAAGTACTCAACTCTGCCTTTAGCTGGGTCAGGCATCTCTGGTATCTTGCAATTTCACCTTATAGTGACCACTTGCTGTACGTACCCTCTCATTGAATCTGGGATGGGGCTGGGGTTCAGAGAGAGATTCCTACAGAAGGGACTCTGAATCTGAGAGATCTTCAGTCTGGACAACCCTCTCCTACCTAGACAACTGAAACTGTCCCTTCCTGGTCTCCTTGCCTCTCTTATTGCCTCCCAGAAAGAGCTTTCCACAGAGCAGAACTGATTACCCCTCTCTGCCTAAATCCTAAAAATGACATCTTCTATCCATTGCTTTTGAGACCAAGACAAAAGTCCTTTCTATGGCCTTTCTAACTTCCCTTCATACACCAGATGCTTTCTTCACTTTCTGAGTTCAACACACAAGTGCTTCCACTATGCAAACTCGACCCCTCCTGCCCCAAATCCTTTGCCTTTGCATTTTTTTCTGTCTGAGGGGCTAAGGGCAGGCTAGGCAGAAGGTACCCCATTGAAGGAAGCAATAGGTAACTTTGATGGCAGAGCAGTGAGGACATAAAGGCTGGAGGAGGTTGGGACCAAACTAAGGAGAGCCATGAATATCAGTGGGGGCAGGGGATGAGGCTGTAAGTCACTAGAAAGTTGTCCTACCTTTCATTCCAGAGACTCCATAGGCCCTCCCTGCTTTCTGGGGCCTACACCGGCCTGGGGCCTGGAGTGGGGATTGGAGGGCAGGAAAAGTGGTCCAGGAGGAAATATTTCTCATCAAAGAAGACCCCCAGGTGCCTATAGGATGCTATAGGGGATTGGTAGCTTTTACTGCTCTAGGGAGAAGGCCACCTAAGATGTGGCTTCTATCTTGTAGGCTTCCCTATGGCCTCAGGGTGAATTTGGCAGGGGTGTAGACTGGACTGGAGAAAAGGGCCCAGGCCTGTGAAGGGATCCCCACCCCACACAGTGGGCAGGCCCTGGCATCTCATTCGATCCTGGGCTGGCTGAGGAGCCACATAGCTTTTAGCCAGTCTTCTTCTTCTTCTTCTTAATAGAGTCTCACTCTGTCACCCTGTATAGAGTGCCATGGCACCTTAGGCTCAAGCAATCCTCTTGCCTTAGCCTCCTGAGTAACTACTGGGACTATAGGTGCCTGCCACAATGCCTGGCTAGTTTTTCTATTTTTAGTAAAGACAGGGTCTCACTCTTAATCAGGCTGGTCTTGAACTCCTGAGCTCAAGGGATCCACCTGACTCAGCCTCCCAGAGTGCTAGGATTACAGATGTGAGCCACCATGTGTTAGCCAGTCTTCTTGAGGTCAATTTTCCCATCTGTGAAATGGGGAGAATGCTCCTCCTGATGGAGAAGGTGAAACGGCAGCCTCCTACAGTTCTGGGCCTCCTCAGGTGCCAGTCTCTGCCCTGCAGCCATGCCGAGTAGGTTGGGAGAAAGGCAGGAAGAGGTCCCCAGCCAAAATCCTGTCCCCTCTCCCAAACACACAGGCAGAGAGGCCCCTCATGCAGGCAAAACTAGGTAGACTCAGACTCACCCCAGTCTCTCATCAACCGAGCTCCGCCTGTCTCTGCCTGCAGCCTGGGTTTCAGGATGGGGGCCATGCTGCATCATGAGGTGTGCACAGCCCTGGCCCACCTGGCCCAGCCCTCCGGTCTCCTCATCCAATAGCCTGCCTTTGTTTACAATCCTGAACTCAGCACAGCGTCCTGACCCTAGGCCCGGGCACATGCTGTTCTGCCACCTGGTGTCCTTGCCCTCCTTTTCCACTAGGCTAATTTCTCTTTTTTTTCAAATCTCACCCCTAATAAGACAACCTCCACAATACTATTCTTCCCTGACACTCCCTGTCTCCCTTGGAGCTCCCACAGCACCTGGTCATTTCCTGGGCAGCAGCTACCACAACGGGCACTGTGCCCATCATGTACCCAACATACCTACAGAACCTAGCCCAGTGCCTGGCCCAAGCAGGTGCTGGGAAAGCACTTGGACAAAAGTGAAAAACACAGACCTACTTCCAGCTATTTATAGGGAACACCTACCCTGCAGTGCTGGCAGGGCCAGAAGGTCAACTGTGATCCCTCTGCATTTGCACAAAGTCTTCAGCACAGCCCGTGGGGTTGTGTCCCAGAGGAGTGAGCTTGGAATGGGCACCTTTCTCTGTAGCCAGAGCTAGCCCCACAGCAAAGACCCCCTGAGGTTCTGATCTGAGCATCTCTGAACAACCTTCACAAAGTGACTCAGCCTGAGACTCCCACTTGCCAATAAGGCTTGATAGGGAGGCAGTAGTGTAAGGAGGAGTGTGCCTGTGTGCTGGGCAAAACAGTTACTAGAGACCCCTCCCACTGACCTGTCCTCTGATCCTTCTAGAAAAATCAACTCAACAAACACCTTCCATAGTTGGGAAAGAATGTTTCCCTGATGATCTAGTCTATTTCTACTTAGCAAGCCAATGAACTCATTTTCTGCTTTACCTTGGCTGCCAGGAAGCTCATTGCAAAGCTTTGTGCTCAGTCACTGTTGCAGCTGCCTCTAACCCTGTTATCTCAGATTTAAGTCTCCTTGGCTCTTTTCTTTTATTCTCATACCCATGAATTTTGGCCTTACTCTTTTTATGCTTTTTATTTGTAAGCCACAGACTCATGTATTTTTTTTTTTTTTACAAGTAGGAGGAATAATAAAAAATTTTTTTTAAGTATGGGCAAAGTTGAGTGGAATCCCTGGGGTGCCTAGCCCTGGGGTATGAATAGGAAGGAGGCCCTCAACATCATGGGATGTAGGGTTGAGGACCCAGTTTACCTTTGTCACACTAGAGGTTCCTGGGAATAGGCCTTTGTTCCCCTCCTGGGACTGGGTACTTGTTTCTGTGTCTCCTTTGTCTTTTAGCACTAGTTTTCATACAAGGCAGTGAGCAGACAGACCTATTCTTGAGCACAGGTGAGAAAATCAAATTGTGTAAGGCGAGACCCATTGCAAAGGGGCCCAAAAGCTCACTAAGAAAGCCTGATGGTTGGACCACAAAGGATTCCAATCCAATTCACTCTCTCTTATTTTATTATTTTTTTTATTGAGTCAAAACTGGTTTTCACAGTCCAAGGGACCATAAAGCAGACTGAATCCTGGTTCCTGGAGAATGGTCTCCAGCCCTAGGTCCTAGCTGGGAGCTGGAGTTACATATTGCACGAGTGGCTTAATCTAAGTTTCCATATTTGTAAAAAGAAGGGCCTGTACTGAAAACTCCGCTTGGACCTTACTGGTCACAGGTCTTTAAGGATCGACAGTGGAAGATTCTATGTTCTGTGATGCTAAGTGTTTAGGATGCAATTCTGAGGCCCTGGGATTTGGCCATATAGAACCAGAGACACCCACTCCCTGTAATTGCACCCCTTTATTTATTTGTAATGAGTGGGGATCCCTTTCCCCATCATGGTCCAGGCCCTCTGGTGGCCCTACATTTGCAGGGCAGCAGCAAAGCGTACATAGCAGGCACAGCTCCAGTCATCAGAACTATAGTTCCACAGACCAGCAAGGCATCTGTGTTCCTGAGGGTCCCTCCTGGTAATCCACCATGAGCTCTCTGGGATGGAAAGAGACAGATAAGTGGTCAGCAAATCTGAGGTGTGGTGGGAAGACAGGAGGAAACTGTGGACAGGAATATGGAGGATGCAGAGTCCCAGTGTCTCTCCAGCATAGGCTGACAAGGCTGGTCTTCTGGAGGGTATGGCCTGACAGTTTGGGGTGTGGATAGGGAGAGGTTCCTACTGTCCCCAACCAACCCTAGTGATTTTGGGCTGGTGTGCTTTATATGGGTCTGAGTTGGCCACCCTTTGTGGGTCCCAGAGAGCTGGCTCAGACACATCTAAGGCCTTAGCCTTCCACCCGACAGTTTCTTTTATAGTTTCTGGTTATGGACGGAAGGATGGGGGTCCTGCAGAGCCAGGTCCTGCCTCCCCATCTCTACCCTGCCTCAGCTGGGCTCAGTGGCCTGCATGTACTGAGTCACCTGGTAGCAGAGTAGTCATTGCCTTGAACCCTCAGTGTACATTTGCTGTCATCTGATGCTGCTGGGACGAGCAAGAGCACCTCCTGGTAAAACTGGCCTACAGTACAAAAGGTGGGTCAGCAAAAGATAAAGGCAGCCTGGGAACAGGCAGGTCTGGGGAACTGCCTGTTCCCAGGCA